AAATGTTTAAGGTAATGGATATTCCAGTTACCCTGATTTGATCGTTACACATTATATGCATGTATTAAAATATCTTATGTATCCCATAAACATGTAAAATAATAATGCATCAACAAAAAATAAAATGTGAAAAACTGAACTGGTAAACATAAAACATATAATATGTACACAACATGTGTCTGCACATATGCATATACATGTGGACCGTGCCCTGCTTCTTTATATAAAACCCTTTTTTAAAGGAGATTTTTCTAAATTTCTTAAGGATGCAAATATAGATTTTGTACACAACATCATTTTTACAGCAAAATTTAGAAATACTTGAAACTTTTACTTTCACAATGCTCTTTTAACTATCAATGTTTAGAAAAGTACCTACTTTTCCACTTAAAATTTCACCTTTACTCTGAAATAACAGTTTAAGTACCACCACCCCCAAAATCTGACTAGGTAACAGTCACTGACTTATCAAAAAATAGAGCAGGAACTTTATCATTTTGTAAAACAATATGGTACACTTATAGTTTTGTAAAAGAAAAACTCTAAAGCCAGGTACAGTGGCTCGCACCTATAATCCTAGCACTCTGGGAAGCCAAAGTGGGCAGACTGCCTGAGCACAGGAGTTCAAGACCAGCCTGACCAAGAGTGAGACTTCATCTCTAAAAATAGCCAGGTATTGTTGTGGGTGCCTGTAGTCCCAGCTACTCAGGAGGCTGAGGCAAGAGAATTATTTGAGCCCAGGAGTTTGGGGTTGCTGTGAGCTATGATATCATAGCACTCTACTAAGGGTGACAAAGTGAGACACTGTCTCAAAAAAAAAAAAAAAGAAGAAGAAGAACAGAGAAAAAAATTATGAGCCTGAGCAAGAATAAGACCTCCATCTTTACTAAAAAACAGAAAAACTAGCCAGACACTGTGGCAAGCACCTGTAGTCCCAGCCACTTAGGAAGCTGAGGCAAGAGGATTGCTTAAACCCAGGAGTTTGAGGTTGCTATGAACTGTGATGCCACAGTATTCTACCCAGGGTGATAGAGTAAGACTCTGTCTCAAAAGAAAAAGAAAAAGAAAAATTAGCAGTGCATTGTGACTGGCCTGTAGTCCCAGCTATTTGGGAAGCTGAGGAAGGAGGTTGCTTCAGCCCAGGGGTTTGAGGTTGCTGTTAACTAGGCTAATGCCAGGGGACTGTAGCCTGGGTGACAGAGTAAGACTCTGTCTCCAAAGGAAGAAAAAAAGGGAAAAGAAAGGGAAAGAAAGAAACTCTAGTCATCTTTTATATTCTTCAACTCATTCACAAAAAAAGATTCCTAGCTCCACTCTAATTTGTAACCAAAGATTCAACCATTCAAGATAATTGATTAGGTAAAGCCATTTATCAGGCTATATAAAGTGTGATACTCTGAAATACACTGAAGACAGCTCACTCTTCCTACTTCTTCTTGTAACACAGATGCCTGACCATCTGACAAAGGACTAACAGACAACTGGCCTATCAATCTGTATTTTAAGTTTTCATGAAGCCTCACCTCTTCTGTTGTAAAGTACTAACTAGCATTTTATTCCCATGCCCCAAAAGATTATCTCATAGCCTCTCCTTGCCCCATATTAGGTCCTTTTATATGTACCAGGATGAATGGAACATGATTCATTTTATTAATAGAAACCCAGAGTTTAAAAGGATGGATAAAGATAGAGTCAGTCCACTTAGACTGTTTCCTTCCTAGCTATTCTTTCTCCAGACTTTTTACTTTTGCTTTAACATTATCATGCCAAGTCAATCATTAAAAAGCCTTATTGTCTACAAAATTCCTCCACAACTCCAGAAAACTTACAAGATATAACCACCCACCTCTAAAAACCTCTAAACAAAGGATTTAATAGTCTTCAACAAGATCAAAGCTTCTCCTACTTACTTTGATGTTTATCTTTTGAGGCATCCATATTGCATCTTGGTACTCCTTTCCTACTTTTAATAAATTTCCTTTTCTTAGAAGTTTTTCTCCTGCTTCCCGCCTATCATCTCTACAGCTCTAATGTCCTATATTAGTCAGCCAAGAATGGTTGCAAAGACTTTTGTCACAGCCAATACAGCAATCCTGCCAACCTGGCTTTTAACTGAGCAGAGTAATGAACACCAGCAAATGTCCAAATTTGCTTACCTGGCACTTTTCTAACCAATCAATCAGTACTAACAAAAGTATACACGCCTGGAAGGATGTCTAAATCTAATGTATATTAACCACAGAAAGTTCATTTCTGTATGGCAAAATACAACCATAAACAAAGTCAAAAGGCCAACACTGGCTCAGTGCCTGTAGCTCAGTTGCTAGGGCACCAGCCACATACACCAGAGCTGGCAGGTTCAAACCCAGCTGGGGCCTGCCAAACAACAACAACTACAACCAAAAAATAACTGGGCGTTGTGGTGGGTGCCTGTAGTCCTAGCTACTTGGGAGGCTGAGGCAAGAGGATGGCTTAAGCCCAAAATTTTGAGGTTGCTGTGAGCTGTGATGCTACAGCACTCTACGGAGAGTAACATAGTGAAACTCTGTCTCAAGGAAAAACAAGGGGAAAAAAAAAAGGACCTACACCAACCGGAAACAAATTTTCAATAAATATGCCAAAGGGCTATTGTTTTGTCACTAGTAGTTAAAACAACAGCAACAAATTTTTAAAAGAATGATTTCTTATTTACGTAATTATCAAGTGTTCTGTTTTTAAGACAATTCTGAGTTCTTGCCACGCCCACAGCCACCTTCTGACGGGCTCTTTACAGTGAAGTTACAGCACCTGGCTCCTCACAACACTGCCATTTGAGAAACATCTCATGTGAGCAGACACACCACTGACTCAGAAGCAGCCCAAGCTGAGCTTGTGTGCTCTGGGCATTCTACTCAGCAGCACCACCTCTCAGAACTACTCCAGCCATCCAGACTTTCCCTTGGGCATATGAAGGCAACATCCACAAAGGATTAGAACTTTTACTTATCACACCAAAAGCCTTTTTCCAAGGGTCCCTTTAATACTGTATTACCCCCCAAGAACTCTGGTAAGATCTCTTTTTCTCTAAAGCTGTCATGATTTACTTCAACCCACAGAGTTCCTTTCCTTAGTAACTTCTGGCCAAACAATGGGACCAAATGTCTTAACACCCACCTCTCCATATTCTTTTTCTTATCTTTCCTTTTTCCTTCCTTCTTTCTTTTTTTTCTTTTAAGAACTTTACTACAAGTATAAGAAACACCAAAAGAGACTAGGGGACCAAAAAACCCAACATTCCATCTGGATAAGAGTAAGAAAACAAATTTTAACAAACATAATCTACAATCTGTACTCCACACTTTGGGGGATAATAATAATAAAACTTGAAGTCTTCTCAGAAACACTTCTTTCAACTACTTTTGTGAGCTCAAATAGGAAAACAAAACAAACAAAAAGACCTTAATTGCTGCAGTTAATGATATACCTTAAATATAAAAAAGAAAATTATTAAATTTTGAGGTACAATTTCATCTAGCGGTATCAATTTTTTATCTTATCTTTGTAAACCTCAGATAAACTATATTCCAGAAAATAACTGTAAAAGGGGGGAGGCAGGACAGCATCAAGCGGCAAGCCGGAAGTGAAGAAGAGAGAATTATCTTAAAAGCTCCAAAAACAACCCCTTTTAAATTTGTATCTGAGACAACTGTTACCCCTATGGTGATGTGGGAGTAGAACAAACATCCCCTAGCTGTTTCTTCCCCACTGAAGAGAGCAGCTAGCCTCCTTACCACTCAAGAGATTGGGGGTCCTCCCAGGAGGAGCTCTTAGCTGACTCAAACAACTATGGCTTTAGACTTCTAAAAAAGAACAAAGATGTTGGGCTGGGTATGGTGGCTCACACCTTTAATCCTAGCACTTTGGGAGGGTGAGGCAAGAGGATCACTTCAAACCAGCCCGAGTAAGAATAAGACCCTGTCTCTACTAAAAAGAGAAAAATTAGCTGGGCGTAGTGGTGGATGCCTATAGTCCCAGCTACTAGGGAGACTGACCACAGGAGGATTGCTTAAACTTAGAGGAGTCTGAGGTTGCAGTGAGCTACACTGAAGCCACAGCACTCTAGCATGGGTGACATGACTCTCTATGAAAGAAAAAAGGCAGAAAAACCAAAAATATTGACAAATAAATGAAACTCATAACTCTCAGGTAAATACTGTTGTTCCAAAGAGCAATTCCAATGATCCAAATAGGGCACAGTGCCCATGACGGCATATGTAATCAACTTACGTTTACCCACTTTCCTACTGCCAGACCAGGTACTCCTGCTAGGTATTTTAGTGAGAATGGGGATGACGTTAATGAGGAAAAACTGCCCATATTTAAATTTTATAAAGTATTCATACAGTGTACTTTTATGGTATTTTCAAAATCAATACTGGTCCTGTCTCCAGTAAAACAATTTTACAACTTACTAAATGAATCATAAATTAATAACAACTGCATTGGGGCATTATTTTCTAACTTTAAGAGCCATAACACAAACATTTTTCACAGTAGTTGGGCAAATTTGTTTTAAAATAGATTTTTCTTTTAGAAGAGTTTTAGGTTCACAGCAGAGTTAAGTAGAAGGTATAGAGATCTCCCTCCCTATCCCCACATAAGCCCAGCCTCCTTGAATTGATCAATTTAAAAAAAAAAAATCACAATACAGGGGAGAGAAGTGAGGAGGGAGGGGGACTGGTGCACTCCCACCTAATGAACACAACATAGGAGTATATGGCACACACCCTAGGTACAAGATACAACAGGGACTTCACCTAACAAAGGTAAACACTGTAACCTAATCATTTGTACCTTTGTATTAATCTGAAATTTGGGAAATAAAATAATAAAAGCACATTCTTTCTGAAAAGAAGTCAAGACATTATCTTAGGAAAAGTAATTTGAAAATTCCAATCACAGATGTCAAGCAGCACTATCATGCACATTTTCACTAATACATTAGGAAAGGAAATACTTACCATATAACATCCGATAAGGAAAGCAGCATTTGCTTGTTTTCTCTGATCAGAGCCAGTAAAATGAATAATTTTCTTCCTTAACAATGTAAAGGACTGGATGAAAATAGACAGTTGTTAGTATTTTCTTTTTAATTTCAAATCTGCTTAAATTTTTTTTGATAAGATAAATTCTAAATCTCATATATATAAACATTCAAATTAGCAAGACCTTTAAAAAGATTGATGTTGATACTCAAAAATACCATGTACCTTCCCGTAAAAAGACATTCTGGGATGAGAATAAACATACCATTGAAGGTACAGGGGAGGAGACATGACCATATGTCATGCATATGTCATGCATAAAGCATGGACTACCTCTGAAAGAACACATGAGAAGCTGGAAAGGGTGGTGGGAGAGACCTTCTCTTTCCTTTTCCGACTGTTTGGTTTTTGAAGAAATCTATTCCCAAAATGTTTAAATTAAAACAAAAAGGTATACAGAACAGGGCAAAATTAATCTATGCTATTAAGTCAGGATAGTAATTAACTGTAACTGAGAAAAGGCACAGGCCGGGTCCCCTAGGGTGCTGCTAATGTTCTGTTCTTGATCTCATGATGAAGATCATTACCCATGTCTATCCAGTTTATGAAAATGCATTGAGTTCTACACTCATGATGTGTATACAGTTCAGTATATATCCAGATACTTCAATTAAAAGGTAAAAATAATAAGGGTATGTAATTTAAAAATAAAAGGAGCACATGATAGTACACTTAGCACTTCTCCCACTATATTTCAGTAAAAACAGACTCAGGGCAGGATAAGGAACAGGGCATATTCTACTTAATAAGCATATATTTCTTGGTTTCTCTAAGTCAATGTTTCAGCATTTTAATGTTCTAGTTCCCTAGTGTTTCAACATAAAGGCGTACATATTTCTCCTTAGTTGTTTGCATGAGTAAGAGATCCAAATTGATTTTTTTTTTTTTTGAGCCAGTCTTTCTATGTCCCCTTCAGTGGAGTGCCATAACGTCATAGCTCACAGTAACCTCCAACTCTTGGGCTTAAGCTTCTCTGGCCTCAGCCTCCCAAGTAGCTGGGACTACAGGCGTCTGCCACACTGCTCAGCACTTTTTTTTTTTTTTTGGTTGTAGCTGTTATTGTTGTTTGACAGGTCCAGGCTGGGTTCAAATCCACCAGCTCCAATGTATACGGCTGGCGTCCTAGCCACTAAGCAACAGGAGCAGAGCCCTAAATTGATTTTTAAAAAAACAAAAACAAAACCCAGGCTGGGCAGAGTACAGTGGTGTTTACAACCAAATGGATCACAACTGGTTAACAAGTTTCTCTGTTCCTTCTCTACCCTCACTGCTTCACTTGACTAGTCTAAAGAAATAAACAACAGAGTGGCGCCTGTGACTCAGTGAGTAGGGCGCCGGACCCATATACTGAGGGTGGTGGGTTCAAACCTGGCCCCGGCCAAACTGTAAAAAAAAATTAGCCAGGCCTTGTGGTGGGCACCTGTAGTCCCAGCTACTCCAGAGGCTGAGGCAAGAGAATCACCTAAGCCCAGGAGTTGGAGGTTGCTGTGAGCTGTGTGACACCACCGCACTCTACCGAGGGTGATAAAGTGAGACTCTGTCTCTACCAAAAAAAAAGAGAAAGAAAGAAACAAACAACAAAAAAGGACTCTTCCCATTCAAACTCTACTTTGTACACTTTTATCACTGTTAATTGAATAGATAATAATGTGTCAATCAGGTTAGATAGTTAATAGGCTACAATTTGTTCTAGTAAAGGATTAGGGGAAGGAAGATAGTAAATGATTGGGGGAAGGAAGGGAGGGGAGGACGGATGCATTTTTGATCCACTGAAGAATAAAAGTACATGAACAGGGGGGAAAAAATCTTCCAAATTTAAGGGGGTGGGGGTAGAGAGAGAATTATTTTTAACTTCCCAGCCCTGCATGAAACAAAAGACCCAGGTGCCACTGGCAACTAGAAAATGGGAGAGAGGAAACCTAAATACACAAGGCCACAGATGTTTATATTACTGTTTTAAGAGAGGCCAGAAGGAAGAGTCTCCATCTCAATATAAATTTGTAGTGAACACCACTATTTGATGCTCAAGGAAAAAAAAATCTACCTTAGCCATGAATTTTGAATCAAAGTAAAGTAAATTTTTAATTAATAATCAATTTTATTTCTTCTGTATAGTAATCTGATAGGTAATTAGTTTGTTTTCTAAAAAGTACCTGGCCCAAAAGGCAGTGTTTTCTCCCTAAGAATTTACAGTGACTAATTTGAACTGGTAGCTAGCAGTACATAAACACTTCCTATTGTATGGGACCAGTAATTCAAATGTTCCAAATAGATGAATGGTGTCTAAGTTCAAACCAATAGTAATCCACTAGTGTAACTCTCAGTAATACAGTAGGCCTCAAGGATACATGTCCTGCCCTTGCTTTGCCAGCCCCCATTCAACTATACAAAGGGTCAAAGGAAAGTCACAACTAGTAAAAAACCACCAAAGTTTCAAGATTGGACAGAAAGTGAGATGAGTTAATTTTTCTTGTTAGTCTGCTAGCACTCCCTATCAAAGCCAAGGCAGGAATATCAGTGATAAAGCAAGGCAAGAGTTTCTCTTGTCAGGTTTCAAATCAGACAATCAGAGGTTCATGTAATTAACCAGTCCCTACTTAGGCTTTTCAAGTATTTAAGCATCACCAACTCAAATCAGAAACAAATGACCCAAACTTTTTTTTTTTTTTAGAGACAGAGTCTCACTTTATCGCCCTCAGTAGAATGTCATGGTGTCACAGCTCACAGTAACCTCCAACTCCTGGGCTTAGGTGATTCTCCTAAGGCGCCAACGACAATACTCGGCTATTTTTTTTTTTTTTTTTGCAGTTTGGCCAGAGCCGGGTTTGAACCCGCCACCCTTGATATATGGGGCCAGCACCCCACCCACCAAGCCACAGGTGCCTCCCCAAATGACCCAAACTTAAACTGTTCATTCAAAACTCTAGAAAACAGATAGCTACCTACTTATAAAACAAATCATACATGTATCTCAAAACCACTGCAGTGAAAAACATAGCATTTCCTTTAAAAAAAAAAAAAAAGATATGTTTTCCTGACTTTTCTCCTCAAGATCAAGCTAACAATGATTACTCAAGTCAAACCTTAAGTAAAAAAGACTTTACCTTTAATTTCTTATTTATCTTGCAACAATATCTGTAAACCATTGCCAGATTGAGTGGTCCAAAATCTGCGTAGAAGCTTTGAAAATGAAAAATTAAAATGTATATTCTAGATGCTCTTAATATAAATGCCTTTTTTGGTCTACATGATCAAATTAAGACAAGAAAATATACACCAATTTGTTATGGTCACACAATTTAAACGTATTGCTTTACTAGTGGAAGAAATATTATGGTAAACAATGCCTGTTAAAAAATGCAATGAGCACTACAATGTCTAGATGCATAAACCTAATCTCACTTAACAGGAAATTACCTTTTATATTTTAAAAATTATTTTTCCACACATATTTTCCACTGGCAAAAACACAATATCTTAGTACACATTTGTATCTCATTGTAGCATAAACTATTAGAAAGAAGACTAAATCTAAATGTTTAAATTTAGGAAGGTCCTTTCATTTTAATCCCACCACCACCACCAAAAGATCTATTTCATTACCAAGGGTCCAAAAAAAAAAAAAAAAAAAGGATCCTGCAATTAGCAATCAATAGATTTATAATTTCCCAAAGCTACCTTCTTTATAAATATACCTTTAGAGTCTTCAAAATAAAAAAAAAAAAGTTACTAGCAATCTTTTAAAAAGAAATACTTACTTCTCATATTCAAGTTCATTATCTATGCTGAAATAATGTATATTTGATGCACTCTTTGGTCTGCTGTAGAGAATGGCAAAACAAAGGCGATCTGAAATGGAAAAATTGCAATGTTCCTTCCTTCAGGTTATTAAAACACGTTTCATATATAACGATGCAACTCTTTTCAGGTGAAGCCAATTTTTATTTTTTCCATGCATGTTTCAGATGGTTAGGGGCAGCAATGAGAAATTCCAAAATATTCTGGCTATTTTGCTGGGCAATAATAAGTAAACAACTTTTTTAAAAGAGAAACTGCCTTTAAGTTTCATTACTGGTAGGTTATTCACTCATGTAGGGACACTGTATGATTTCTGAAAGAACCTCTCATTAAACTTTAGTTTCCCCAGGCTAAGAAATTTCAGCAAACGGAAGCATTAATTTGAGGGCTAGACATCAGCCTTATATCGAGTTTGAAGATTAATTTTGCTATGTTTTCAAGACATCCTAAAATGTCATTTTGTAAGAAACTACTTTTTTTTTTCCTTTTGCAGTTGTTAGCTGGGGCTGGGTTTGAATCCACCACCTCCAGCATATGGGGGCTGGCGCTCTACTCCTTTGAGCCACAGGCACCACCCCAGAAACTACTTTTTTTTCAAAGTAAAGAAGAAAGAATGCTTTCAAAATCACTTCAGAATGATGTTTACAGCTATAAAACACAAGAAAACCACATGTTAATCCAACTGTTCTTAGGGATCACTATTATTCTTTAATTTGGAATCACTCCTTTTACTTTATTGTTTGTACAATTAGACAAATTGCCATTAAAACAGAAGCAATGAGAGGTTTCTGTATGAGCAGTCTGAGATGAGCTTGGATTGCATAAATGCAGTTAGGCAGCTAGAAGGTTAAAGCAAGGATGGTAACAAGTAGTAATGTTCAGAGGCTCCACCCTACCCCTCAAAGGTTGTCTAAAAACCTTTGGCGCAACCAAGTCATCCATAGTATCTAACAGTAATACTAGTAGTGCTGGGAAAAATACACTCAAAACGTGGCAAAATCAAGTGCAGTCTTTAAAATACATATATGTTCTTTCAGCAGAGCTAGTGATAAAAAACAAAAGACGCCAGCTGGCATCTTGCCCCAAATGGTAATTTAAACTCTTTCTTTTTGTCTGTAATTCAACTTATGAAACTACTACTGGACTCATTTCCTTGTAAACTCAACTAAAATTTCTCCCAACCACAAATAATCAAACCGATGACAAGGCTCAATTCTTTACCAACACAAACGACCTTTGATCCTGTGGGCGGAGAGGCGCAGCTCACTAGACACCGGTGTAAGTACACAAGGGTCACAAGCACACATACACGTATGCACCGTCACCCCAAAGCCCTGGGGACTGGGAGTCCTGGAGGCCACCCACGCCCATGAGACAGCATCAGCCCTGACCTCGACGTTGAAAAGCACCTCTCCCCCGGCCCCTTGGCGTGCCGGTACCCCCAAAGGGCACCAGGGACCGGGAATCCCGCGCCCTCTCACACTCACCTTTGATCACCTCCACCACCAGAGGGGACCGGGAGCCCTCCCGGCTCATGACTCCAAAGCATCTGGAAGGCGGGGCGGAGGGAAGGACCGGGTGGGTCGAGGACAACCAGCTGGCGAGAGAGGAGGCGCCTGGACCACACCCCCGAAGTTCAGAAAACAAGAAGTTTAAAGGGCCGGACCCAGACACCAGTCACAGCGACACCCGCCGGCCACCCACCTCGGCCGCAGATGCAACCGAGGAACTGCCAACACAGGAGGGCCAACCCCGGAAGTTCAAAGCTCCTCAAAACGGCCTCCAAAAGGGTGACAGGACAACGGAGCAAGGAAAGCACCGACCGCCCTGCAGCCCTCTCTGCTCTGAGGACGGCAGGCAGCAGTCCACATGCCAGGGCTCTACCGGTGCTCTAATACCGCCCAAGTGCTCCGCTCCGAGCCTCCGCGTCTGGACGTGCGTCAGAGAAGCCAACAGGCTGTGCAAAAAGAAGCGCCTCGGAAAGCTCCTTAGCGATTAAAAGGCCACTGCGCCAGAAGGGCTTGGCCAGTGCGGCTGACCATACCCGAGGTGACGCGTGACTCCGGCAGAGAGGCAGCCGGGAACCTCCCGCGGCGGGCAGCGCGCTCTGGCCGCCCTGCGGCCGCAGACAGGGGGCGCTGCAGCGGCAGAGCCCGCCCTCCTGGAGCCCGTCCCGGCGGCGCCCGCCAGTCCCCCGCCGCCCGTCCTCGCTCCGCTCCGCTCCATGCGCGCCCAGTGCCCGGCTCGCTTGCGGCGCTGGTGACTGACGGAAAAGGGACATCGTCAAACTGGCACGAGAATTAAAAAGGTGAGCATAAAATTCAGGTCACACGTTCCCTGAAAGGTGTTGGGATGGTTTTATAATAAAAATGTTGACGCTTGCCTAAGCAACCTCTTAAAATATTTTCTAAACCTACGTTTGTATTTTAATCTCAAGAGAAAAAAATTGAGACATAGTACGAATATGATCCCAATTGTTACAGATGATACGGAGTTGGGATTGTGGGTGGTTTTCACACCCTCCAGTATTTTTCCAAGTTTTCTACAGAAAAGCACTACTTTCCAGACACTTCTAAAGTAAATCTGCGTTCCTCCTAACCTTATTCTAAAATTCCGAATGGATCAAAAACTTTTTTAATGTTAAGGGGGAAAAAAACACCATGAATTCTTTTTTATACTCTCCAGCTGGTTAAGGAAGCCTTTTTGTAGATGATACGAAATCTAAAAGCCATAAGAAAATCAACTGGTAAATTGATACACATTTTTAAAAGTCTTCATGGCAATAGACACAAACTAAGTTGAGAGATAAAGTGGCAAAAACATTTTAAATTCAGCTCAAAAAGATGCCCAACTTAAATTTTATGTTATCGCAAAAATAACAAACGCAAGTAAAATTCAAACTCGAATGAGTTCCTATTTTCCTCTCTGACGGGGAAAAATCTCAGGGGGTGCTGGGTGGGGAGGATGAGTGCACTCACACTGCCTGTGAATGGGAATATAACCTCCATGAAGGGCAACAAAAGGGCAATGTGGCAGAAATGTTCAAGACTGAACAATAAGAGATAGCCAAGATAGAATGTTAAGTACTACACGTGTATTGAAGCATAGATATAACACATTCATGTGGCTGCATATAAAATCTCACAGAGCACATATGTGGAAGGAGACATAAGAAACTGGTATCGTGGATGCCTTTATAGGCAGAAACTGGGTGTCTGGAACTAGGGAAGGGTGAGAGAAATTTATGCCTTTTTATAGCTTTTGAATTTTGTGCCATACATTACATATACAAAATAAACTGTCGGGCTAGCAGTGTTTTTCCAAAGTTGGCTCTTCATCCAGATAAGAGGCAAACAATGAGCATAGTATGAGGTGACCTGGAAAATATCTAAACAAGGAACTGGTTTCTACCCATCACTTGAAATTCCAGTTTCTTTTAAAAACCCCAGTTAAAACAAGAAAAGTAGGTAGATGGAAGTGAGAAGAGATTTTCCCTCCAAAAGTAAAGTTCAATTTCCTAGGGAATATTTTTAGATTACGAGGAAGGGGGATACACTGATTTTTAATGTCCAATTATCTCTAATTATGTCAGTATTGTTACAGGAGTACTGCAATGAATACTACAGAGACCAGGGTAGTGAGTGGAGATCATTAATTAGAAATCTGGAGCTAGAAATAGGGCTGTGTACAAAGTTTGCTTAAAAGTGCATGATGAATCAAGTGCCTTCCTCTCCCCTCAATGTTTTTGTTCTCAAAAACAGAAAACTTAAGTAAAAAATCTACTTGCTTACACATCCCTGTCACATAATGTCATCATTCCTGCTTCCCTGACTAATATGAAGGAAACACATAAGAATATTTTTAAAGAATGTTTAAAATCTATCCTTGGGGCTCGGCGCCTATAGCTCAACCGGCTAAGGCGCCAGCCACGTACACCTAAGGTGGCGGGTTCGAATCCCCAGCCCGGACCCGCCAAACAACAATGATGGCTGCAACCAAAAAATAGCCGGGCGTTGTGGCGGGCGCCTGTAGTCCCAGCTACTTGGGAGGCGGAGGCAGGAGACTCGCTTGAGCCCAGGAGTTGGAGGTTGCTGTGAGCTGTAATGCCATGGCACTCTGCCCAGGGGGACAGCTTGAGGCTCTGTCTCAAAAAAAAAAAAAAAAAAAGATAGAAAAGTGAATTTTTGATGAGCTCACCACCAGACAGGCAGAAAGGAGATTTTATACCCTAGCCAACCATAAATAACAAATCAAAAACAGGCTACTCTTGACATTAACTGTCCCTCAGAGATAGGAACAATATACATCAGGTTCTCATCTGAATTTTGAGAGAACTAGTGACCAAGGGGAGCAGAGGAAGAAATGTTCACAAGTACTGATTAAAAATGCAGCAGCAGTAGCAGCAGCAGGGCAGGGCACGTGGCTCACGCCTGTAAACCCACTCTGGGAAGCTGAGGCAGGTGGATTGCTTGAGCTCAGGAGTTGAAGACCAGCCCTGAGCAAGAGCAAGACCCCCATCTCTACTAAAAACAGAAAAACTGCAGGGCTGCCTGTAGTCCCAGCTCCTTGGAAGGCTGAGGCAAGAGGATTTCTTGAGTCCAGGAGCTTGAGGTTGTTATGAGCTATGATGCACTCTACCCAGGGCAACAGAGTAAGACTCTTGTCTCAAAACAAAACAAAACACGATAGCCACCGATTACTGAAAGTTTAGTGCCAGGTATTGTATTCAGCTCATTATAACCTATGAGGTATATACTACTATTAATATGTTCCAGAAAAGGAAATCTAGCCCTAAAGAGTGACTAAACTGTAAAAAGCTTGGTCAAGGTCACAAAGCTTGTTATGAAGTGACAGAATTAGGACATGAACACAGGCTATTGATTGAAGTCTAAGATTTTTAAATCCCAGCCTCCAAGCATATAAATCAAGAGTAAGTAAAACAATGTGATTTTAGCACAGCAATATGCAATCTGGATCCAGACATATATGAATACTTACAAGAAAACTAATATTTCAATTCAGTGACAAAGAAGGCCTTATTCAACAAAGGGGCAGATGTTTACAGGTATGAAAAGAAAATTACTTTCTAGGGAGGCACCTATGGCTCAAAGGAGTAGGGCACCAGCCCTATATGCCAGAGGTGGTGGGTTCAAACCCAGCCCTAGCCAAAAAGAAAAGAAAATTATTTTCTAAAATCAGATGCTATATAAAACAAAAACAGCAGATGAAATAATTTTGAAAAAGGTGTCAGATAACTTTTATAGTAATTCTATAATTAAACCTGAGAGATTTTTAAGCATGAAACATAAAGAGAAAAACTAAAAGACACCTGGGGGAAAATATGTAATAAAAGATACAAACAGATAAAGTACCTCCAAAGCAATAACAACACAATAGCAAAAAAATATAAAAAGACTACGAACAGTCAACTCAGAAAAGAAATAAAAATGACTAATAGCATATGAAAAGAAAATTAATCTTGTCACTCAATATAAAAACAAAGTCTATTAACATGAACAGAATACAAGAGAAAGTCATAATTATCTCATTAATTACAAAAAAGGAAGTCATTAAAATCAACACCATTTCCAATTAAGTCTGTATATGGCTTATTTGGCATATATACCAATATGGCACTAAAAGAGAAGTTCCTTAACCTGATGAAGATAATCTTCTAGATACTTACAGCAAATATCATAACTTCATGTGTCAACTTTAGAAACATCCCCTTAAGTTAAAAAAAAAAAAAAAGACAAAAATTCCCACTATTGTTATCTCTACTGAACAATCTACTAACTGGAAGTGCTAGCTGATGTCAAGATAAAAAGTAGAAATAAAAATAATTAAAAAAGAAAGAAACAAAACTGTCCTTATTTACAGGCAATGACTGCTACCTAGAAAACATAAGAATCCACAAACAAACTATTACAATAAACTGATAAAGTTTTGCAGAGGTTCTGGGTATAAATGATTAACACACAAATCTAAGAGTTGGCCCAGTGCAGAGTAGCTCATGCCTATAATCCTAGCACTTTGTGAAGCTGAGGTGGAAAATCACTCGAGGCTGGGGGTTCAAGTACCAGCCTGGGCAGTAGCAAGATATCACATCTACAAAAAGTTAAGGAGGGAAAAAAAAAAAAAAAAAGCCCAGAGCTTTTCTGTATACCTGTCTGTAATATGGCATAACTATACCAATTATAAAATGTAAAAGAAAACAAGATTTTTATATACTTCATGTGTAAATGGAGAAATAAGGCTTATCAACAGGAAGACAAAATACCACAAAGATGGTAATTTCCCTCATGCAATTTTGATCAAAATTTCAACAGGTCTTTTCATTAAACCTGATGGGCTAACACTAAAATTAATCTAGACGACCACAGAGGCGAGAAGAACTAAGAATATTTTGAAGATGCACAAGAAGGGGAGCCCTTGCCCTACCAAATATCACAATATACAGTAATTTAGGCAGTATTGTCACAGTGTAGTATTGGCACACATGTAATACAAAGGGTAAGGACAGGAGCCCAGAAAGACAGCCACATGTATATGGAAATGTCACATATGATAGATGTGGCATTAAAAATCAATAGGAAAAGTAAGAATGCGCAATACATAGTTGGGGACAATTAGTTGTCCACATGTTGGGAGTAGTGAGGGAAGAAGTTCAATCCCTGTCTCATTCCATAATGCCATTACCTCCCTAAAGAAGAAAAAAAATCTCAAATGGATTAGAAAGCTAGATATGAGAAGAAAAGCTTTGCAAGTTTTAGGAGAAAGTATAGAAAAATAATGTGTATCAGTAGAGACAGGATGGATATTTTTATACAAAACGAAAAGACTCAAACTATAAAGTAAAAGATTGAAAAATATGGTTACATAAAGATTTAATGTTTCTGTGACACAAGCCCAGAAACAAAATTTTAAAAATATAGGTATAATGCCTAAAACCAATAAAGGATCGGTATTTAGAATTTACAGAGGCCTACATGTTAAAGAGAAAGAACTAACACCCTAATAAACTAGTGAGCAGAGAGGATGGGATAAGAAAACCACAAAGAGAAGGAACCTAATTATCCTTCCTTGCTTCCCTTTTTTAGACCGACCTACCTACAATGAGTATGGTTCTGGTTTATGCCTTGTGATGAATTGAG